CAAGATATATGATGTTTCCCCTAAGTCCTCAATGGAAAATTATCTAGATAGCCAAGCCTTTACTATGGAAAGTATTCCTATATTATTTCTAATGATCAGGATGTCACATATAGCACAAAGAAGGTGATAGCGCTCACACTTACCTACCTTTACACATAAGACTTATCTTCGTTCTTAACAAAGTCATAAAATTTGATCGTCTCATCAAATTTTATGTTCTAACTTCGAGAAGCTTGCTTTAGTCCATAGATGTACTTAAGCTACCTGGACACTTTATTTGGACTTTTCTTGGATATGAATATCTCAAACTGTATCATATACATCTCCTCATCAATGTTACCATTGATGAACGCGATTTTTACGTCTATCTACTAAATCTTATAATCACAATGTGCTACAATAGCCAATAGAATTCAGATGGATTTTAGCATAGCTATAGGTGAAAAAGTTTCATCATAGTCAACATCTTGCCTTTAATTATACCCCTTAACTACTAGCCTTACTTTATAAGTCTTCACCTTTTCATCTACTCAAATCATCTTCTTAAAAATCCACTTGCGACCAATGAGTACGATACCCTCAAGTGCATCAACAACGTTCCAAATTTTATTGGAGTACATGGAATCTATCTCAAAATTTATAGTTTTTTGTCACTTCCCAAAATTTATACTCGTAATAGCCTCCTTGTAGGTCTAAGGATTAATATCATCAACATCCTCTCTTCTGATATGTCTCGCATATCTCTTAGGAGGATTGAGTACTTTGTCGGACCCACGTAAAGTAAGAACTTATGTGCTAAATACATGAACAAACTCGGGCTGTGGAATTATGCTTGAGCTAGGTTCTCCAAATTCGCTCAACTCTATCATGCTCTTATTGTCTCCACCAAGAATGTGTTCCTTCTAAAGGAACACCGCCCTCTTGGCTACAAAGATCTTTTGGTCCTCGGGATGACAGAAATAATATATATATGTTCCATTGGAATATCCCACAAACTTATATCGTTCCATTCTGGATGCCAACTTGTCGGGGTTGTGTCTCTTAACATGGGCAAGACAGCCCTAAATCTTAACAACCTTAATATTGAGCTTCTTCCCTTTCCATATCTTATATGGTGTAGACACCATTGACTTAGTTGAAACTCTGTTCAGAAGGTAAGCTACAGACTTTAGGGCGTATCCCCATAATGAGATAGGTAGAACGATGAAACTCATTATGGAGTACATCATGTCTAACAATGTGTGATTCTTCCTTTCTAATATACTATTATGCTGAGATATATAAGGAGGTGTCCGTTGGGATAGAATTTCATAATCCTTGAGGAACTAAATGAACTCTGTACTCAGGTATTCACCTCATCGATCTGATTGAAGAGTCTTGATACTCTTTTTAATCTTGTTATGTATTTCAGTTTTATACTATCTGAATTTCTTAAATGTTTCAGACTTATAATTTATCAAGTACATGTATCTATATTTAGAGAAATCTTTAGTAAAAATAATAAAGTAGGAGTAACCACCTATGGCCTGGGTTGATATGAGACCACACATCGCTATGTATGAGTTCTAGTAACTCAGTCACTCTCTCTCCAATTCCACTAATTGGGGAGTTGATCAATTTTTTATGAAGGCAAGGTTTAGAAGTTGCATATGACTCATAGTCGAATGAATCTCGTAGATATGAGCTAGTCTACAATGCAACAAGTATGCATTATTCATCTCATCTCGTTTTCTCTTGGACACACCTATATTTATGATATGCGGAGCAGTGTCTAGCATAAATAAACTATTATGCAATGTTTCTCTAGTGATGATCTAATCATCTAATATTATTGAACAACTATTATTCTCAAAAACTAATTTATATCAACTAATTGTGAAATAGAAATAATATTTTTAATAATAAAATGAACAAAGTAACATACATACAATGCAATAGTAGCTCCACCAAGCAGATGTAGAGTGACCTCGCCAACAACTATTACAACAACTTTTGCTCAATTGCCCATCTTGAGATCTATCTCGCCTCTCACCAATCTCCTAAGTTTTACCAGAACCTACAATGAATTATAGATATGATAAACACTCATGATATCCAATATTCATGTATTATTATAAGAGTTTAACAAGTGGAGATTGATTATGAATGTACTTGAAGCTTCTCAAAGCTTTTCTTTCACCTTCTTTACAAGATACTCTTTGCAGTTCCTCTTCCAATGCTCGTCTTTGCAGCAATGGAAACGCTGGCCTTTGTCCTTTGTCGAGTCCTTCTTAGCAACATTTACTTACCCGGTTTGCCATTGCCCTTCTTAAGTCACTTCTCTACCTTCCTTTTCTTTCTGGTCTTATTAGTATAGAGAACTAACTTCTCTTTCTTGATGGTACTCTCTACTTTTCTCAATATATTGAGGTGCTCAAGAAGAGTCACATCATGTTTGTTTATATTAAAATTTATAATGAACTGAGAAAATAAATTTGGTAGAGACTGAAGCACAAGATCCACACATAGATTATCCTCGAGGATCATTCCTAGACCCATGAGCTTCTCTATCTACTCAATCATCTTAAGAACATGGTTTTGAATCGGTGTCCCCTTAGTCATCTTGGCGCGGAAGAGACTCTTGTATATCTCATATCATTGAGTTCTTTTCTGTTCCTCAAACAATTTACGGAGATGCATGAGAATAAATCTGACATCCATCTTTTCATATTACCTCTATAACTTGGGAGTCATGGAGCCCAACATGTAACATTGAGCAAGAGTAGAGCCATCTATATACTTTACGTATCGAGCAATCTCATCCTCGCTTGGCCCTTCCTCGAGCATTAGCATCACTATGTCAAGGACATACACGATTTTCTCTACCGTGAGAATGATTCTCAGATTCCAGAGTCAATCCATGTAATTTGGACCAGTGAAGCAGTTGACATCAAGTATGCCACGTAAGGGATTTGAAAATGATATTTTATAAAAATAAATATGTAATAGAAATAAATAATATATAGATTTTATAGAAAAATAAATAATCAAAATATGGTCTTCTATCTTAATCTACTCCCATTATTTTCTCGCGAAATACATAACTCCCTTCGGTATGTGAATCGAAGACCTCCAATAGATCTCTATTGGGGATCGAGATCTAATCGGTATCTTAACGAAAGTTCGAGGGACTCAACCAATCACGTTAAGCCCGAAAAGGTAGGCAACTCTTGCTGATCATAACTCTTTGTGATTCTCATCTTGTTCGGCCTCCGAACCATTATAGCCTTTAGGGACTTGACCAACCACGATGTTCAGTTAAGTCATCACCGTTATAAGATGAGTTTGATTCGATGATATACCCTCTAGTGACTCACCAAGTATATCACATCTTTAGGTTACCAATGACATCTCTATGTCGTATGTAAGATCTCAAATCGCAACATAAGTGAGCCTCGAGGAACTCCACCAACTCAACTTACATTAGTAATCAATTTCTCTCTGATAGAAGGCCACATGGGTCAATCTAATCGTCTCATGTTTACTGACTTAATATTATAGAGAGAGGGGTTTTGATTCGATCTCCTAATATTATGTATTACACACATGCATATTTAATATATATCTATATCGTATACAAATATACATACATATTTAGTAGGTATATAATCAATCACATATCAGATGTGCAATCATACAAAATGATAATGGACTAGCTTAATATGATCAAGCCCGAGCCAATGGGCTCAATCACTTACATCACCATTTGTGTGCAATGGTATATCTCCATGCTTTGCTTTGTGATTGTCTATTCTAATTCGAGGACAAAAGATATTTGTATCTTGTGTATCGCTCATTCACCCTAAGATTTTTTTTTTTTTCTTGAATGAACATGCACAAATGAGAGGCTTTGGGATGCAATCGACGCTATATGTTTTTTTTTTAATCTTAGGTGAACATATTGCATTTTTTATATCAAATATATATTTTTTAAATCCTGGATTGATGCTACATATGCAAATGATAAGCTTTAGAATGCGATTGGCTCTGCAGATACTTTTAATATTGGGTGGATCATTATGCATAAACGAGATACCTCGGATTGTATCAGATACTTTAGATATTTTTTAACCCTAAGTGGATGCATCATGCACAAACGAGATACTTAAATTGCATCATATACTTTAGATGCTTTTGATGTTTTACATATGCATCCTACATAAAGGAGATGTTTTGGGTTATATTGGATACTTTAAATATTTATGTCCTAAGCTAACGTATCATGCACATAAGGGAAATGTTGATCACGTTAGATACTTTTTTTTTTTTTGTCATGAGTGAACACATGGTGCATAAGGGGGATGGGTCGGATGCATTGAACACTTCAAATTTTTTTATTGAAAAAAAAATATATCATGCATGCATGAAGGAGACACGTTAGTTATATCTTATGCACAAAGATATTTTATATATTTTTATATTGAGTTATCCAACATAAACCTTGGTATGGTGTTACGAGTGAAGACATCGTCAAACGCACAAGGAAACACTTGTGTTCAAACTCATACGGTTAGGGGCTCATGTTCGCTCAGTGAACTCCCACCCAATTGTCATTCTCGGTAGAGGAAAAAAGAGATAGGACGACAATACAAGACAAAGATGATAATGGATCTAACGAAGATAATTTTGAGTTTGGGGGGTTTCAGACAAAGAAATTGGTAAAATAGTTTTTTTAATGAGATTAGAGATTCTATATAACAAATTTTCAAAAATAATTTTTTTAAAAAAATTAATTCGAAAATCAAAGAAATATAAAAAATAGTTAAAGTAGGTCATCCATATTTCAAGCCTACTACAGCAAATGACATCAATCCACTCCCAACGGTCACGAAGCCAGCCGAATAATATTAATTATTTTATATATAGTATAATAATAAATAAATGTCTTCCAAAATGCCAAAGACATGACATCAAGACGATTCGCTCTTTCCCGTTCACACTCGTCACACAACAAAAGCCGCCGCTTAAAGCGCTCACTCTCTCTCTCTCTCTCTCTGTTCCTGCCTTCGCTTCCTCTTCCTCCCATGGCTTCCTCCCTTCCCCACCTCTCCGACACCGATGACGACGCCGTTAACGCCGTCATCGCCGAGGCGGCCGATCTATGCGCCCTCGAGCAGATCGCCGCCCTCAACACCGCCCACCTTTCCGACTCCACCCTCCTCCCCTCCCACCTCGAATCCCGCTACCGCAAACTCAAATCCCTCCCAGCTTCGCTTCCCAATCTCTCCACCCCGCATCCCCCTTACCCGCCGGAGAAGGAGAACTTCCCCGATGCCCTCGAATTGAATCGCGCCCGGACCCAGCCCAACTCACCCGCCGACCCTCGGAAGCCTGAGGAGCCGATCGCTGGCCGAGACGGCCGCAAAGCCGAGATCTTCCCCCTTGACAACGAAGTGGCCGCGAATAAGGCGGAAGCCAAACCAAAATCTGGGTTCGGTTCCTCGCCCTCCTTCTCGTTCGATTCCTCGGGAGAATCGTCGCCTTCGCCGCCGCGGCAAAGGTGCTGCTTTGGTTACTCGCCGAAGAGGGCGCAAAGGAGGAAGGGGAAGGGGGACGATGTGCTCTCAGAGCTGGGCGTCCTGTCTCTTAAGGAGCATAGGAAACTAAAGAAGGCGTTGAAGGAACAGGAGAAGGCGATGCGGGAGTCTGAGAAGATAGTGAAGTGGGTGAAGCAGGCGTCGGCGAGGATGAACGCTGCTGCCATCGACGAGTTGCTGAGCGACGACGAAGAGCTCAAGTGATGGAATGCATATAAGAGATGACTCGGTACCCCTTTCTCTATCTGCAAATGAAGATGATGTTGCTACATAGTCTTTTAGTGTTCTTTTAGCGGAGAGTTATGCATACTAAATATATATGTTTTTCCTCACTTTTTTTTTCTGTGAAATGGATGAAAAGATATATGCAAATCAAATCAATGATCTTTCAATTTTAGGAGCATAAGGGTTTAACATTTCATGTTTCCTACCATGCATTTTACTTCTTGATTGATTTATTTGATTCTGTAGACAGATCAGAAACATAAGCAACAATTTTTAGTGAAGGCATAGCATAATGATAAGGATGACCATAGTTGTTGCAAATATACAGTGCCTGTTTCTTCTTTCTATAGTAACCTATGTTGAATGGTCTGTTTCATATCTCTATATTTTCATGTAAAATGCATCTCATATCTGAATAGGAAAGGGAATTTCTGATTGGAATTCAGGATCATCAAGTCCGTAATTATGGATAGATGCTGCTGAAAGATATGCTTGTGCTCCCAAAGATCAGATTATGAGTTTAATTAATCAGACTTGGAGTTCCAAGTTACACAATGTAGTGTCCCAATGCCATAGGACAATCTAGTTCTGTATTATATACACGCACACTGTGAGACCAAATTTAGTTCAAACATTTTGATCAAATTATATTTTGAGATATGTTGTTGATCTTTTAGTCAACCCAAGAAAAAGTGGGATAAATCCAGCCTTCTCTTTTATGATTCTGAAAACAATTGGTGTACAAATTTAGGATTCATTGTACTGTTGAGTGCAGTGAAAGACATTCACTATGAACATTGGGCAATGAATGAATCAGCATTTTTAAGCAGAAAGAATCCTTTCACTGAAATGGTTAATGTTATTCTTAGATTCCTAATTACAACTGGACCCATTGTAGAGGAACTGTTTTGTGGATGCATGTTGATATGATTGAGTAATCCATGCATTATAGACTTGCTGAGTCGATTAGGATTAATCCTGTAAGGAGAGGTTAAAGAAGACCTTAAAAACATTTTTATTAAAAATAATAAAAAAGATATTTAGGGGTCCTTGATTTAATGAGAGATATTTACCTTACACAGAGTTTGATAATAGGAAAAGATCTATGTAATCAACCTAAAATAGTTGGGAAATTATGAGATGTTCTTGCTGTTGCTGTTATCAATCCATACATTATAAGATTGTTAACTGGGGATCATTCATCAACAGTAATCAAATGTGAGATGGTTCGCTTGTGGTAACAGTAGCAGGAAAAGTATGTACTGCAACAATTTATCTCAAAATATCTACTGGACCTCTAAGCCTGGAAGATTATTCTTTCTTCAATGAAAAAAAATGTTTCAGACTATGTTTGACATGATATTTTGGATAAGAATGCATCACAAAGAAAGATCAGAGAAGAATGGGGATGAATGATGGCTCTTATTGTCGAAACAAAGCTTACTTTGAACTCAACATATGGAAGATTATTCTTTCTTCAATGAAAAAAAATGTTTCAAACTATGTTTGACATGATATTTTGGATAAGAATGCATCACAAAGAAAGATCAGAGAAGAATGGGGATGAATGATGGCTCTTATTGTCAAAACAAAGCTTACTTTGAACTCAACATATGGAAGATTATTCTTTCTTCAATGAAAAAAAATGTTTCAAACTATGTTTGACATGATATTTTGGATAAGAATGCATCACAAAGAAAGATCAGAGAAGAATGGGAATGAATGATGGCTCTTATTGTCAAAACAAAGCTTACTTTGAACCCAACATAAAACAATTCTCTGCACTGGAGCTCAGATCATTTTTTTTTTTACGGACACAGATTATTGCTAGCTAGCATTGGCTTTCAACTATAAAATTCTTATTTCAGCAGTTTGGTTTGCTGTATGATGATCAGCCATGCTACATACAACTCACAGCTGGTGTCTTCTGCTAGCCAAAAGTCAAGATGCTTATTCTCCTTGCTTCTGAAACTTTATTGGACTTCGAAAGCACCGGCTGAGTGTGATCACTCTCAGAAATATATATATATATAAGATATTATTATAAAAATATTTCTATAAATATAAGACGGTGACAAACATTGGCTATAAAAAGTAGACGACAAACATAAAAAATGATAATAAATAGTTTAATTAGTGAAGCAACTTGACTGTCGATTATGCTTGCATTTATTCAAATATTACACACATCATCATCATCGTCATCACATACATGAGATGCAGTGGATAACTGAGCAGCATAGATCCAGAGTCTTGAACTACTGCATGGCACAAGATGCAAGTGGGATTAAGAGATACTTTGTCACATGAGATTGTAAAGATCATTCTAACCAAAATTATATATGAAGATTATTAATATCTACCCCAAAGTCCCAGACCAAATTAGTTTGTCACATGAGATTGTAAAGAATATTCCAACCAAAGTTTTACATGAGGATTAATATTTATACCAAAGCCACATCCATCCTCAATACCTGAAAAAAACAAAAAAGCCAAAGCCATCCATGAGTGATGTGCATCTTCTACAGAAATATGCCCATTTCTGGTAGCATTATGTAAAGTTACCAAGGTCATCAAACATGTTGACATTTTCCAATCTTCCCAACTGCAAAATGACATCAATCAAAGCTGGCTTAGACAAACTACTGCATTTATCTTGATGAACCAATCCATCTGACTATAAAAAATCAACTCCATGACAAGTTCCAATAACCATGTCAAGAGCACAATTCTACAACAATGTTTTAAGAGTAATAGATGAAAAACCAACACAAATCTAGACTAAGCACGATTCCAGTGAACTACCATTTGTAGTATCTTCACTTAGTTCTCATCTAGATAAGATCACTGAACTTAAAAGGAGAAATTGAGTTACCCAAAGAATTTTGAGCTAGGAAGGCAATTTGCATTTAGGAAGACATTTTTGATAAAAACCACTCACACAGTGTAATGCATCTGATAAATTATTTGAAAATAACATCCTTTAGGGTGGCGAAAAGCAAGAGAAGGAACATACAGAATGTGTGACCTCGAATAGCCACTCGTAGCCTTGGGTTATTATCAGAGGATGGGAAATGAGAATGTGAACTGATCCAATTTCCAATGTTGGTCCTGTAGTTTATTAAATCATCCCACAAAAATTTAAATTATGAAAGAGCCCTAGTAATAAAAAAAAAATCTTCTTTTCTTCCAAGGAAGGTGTTTTTGTGACAACTAGAACCATGAAACTATCATATACAACATGTCACTTGAGCAAAACAAGGAAAGAAGCCATATCTAACAAGGTTCTGATACACTAAATTCCAGATTAGCTCCATTACATGCATGTATATAAACAAGATTTCACCAACTACCTAGTTACCTGAGGAAAGGTAAAAGGAGCCCTCTATCTAATACTCCTATTAAGTGTCAACATTGGTACAAGCCTTCTATTTAAATCCTTCGTCTTAGCCGCGAGCCATGTTGATCCATAGCATCCCCTACTTCTCTCAAGTCCCTTGATAGAGAAAAACATGACTAGATTTGATGTAGAAATATAAAACTCAAACTAGATTGTTCATTTTGCATGAAGGCCTTGGGTTCTGTCATCTTCAATGGCAATTAGTTACACAGGCAGTCATGATATAGTAAACCATTAAACACATGTAAGATGGCCATAAAAAATATATGGAGATTGGTTATTTTCATTGGACCATGAAGTTCTAATTAATAAATGACCATAAGAAGAAATTTCTAGTTAACATCAAGGTAACCAAACTTTACATGAACAAGAAAGTTGCATGAGATGCTCCACTCTACATAAATTAAAAACTAGACATGTGACCATAAATTTACAAATCAAATCACAATCTCATGAAGTCAAAGAGGAATTCCAAAAATAAGTAATGTCAATCTACAACAATTGGAAAGGTAACACAACAAAAAGGAACTAGAGAGTGATCCACAGACTTGACATTCAAAATAACAACTTAAAGAGGAAATTTGCTAGAATTTCTTGTAACAAAAGTACATATTCTTCAATGATACTAGAATTTCTTGTCAATCTAGGCCTTATTACTGAGAAGAATGATAAGTTGGAGAAAGATATTTGGCAGCAAAATCAGCTCCTAGCTTTCTAAAAACAAAGAGAAATAGTAAGGGCAGAACCAAACCAGAAATCAACTAATACACCTGCCAATTTCTTCACTTATCTTGAACACCTCATCTGTCTGTTCATTGGATCAAGAAAGAAGCAATCTTGCAATTTCCATCACAACCAGAGTTACCAGACACACCAAATCAGTATGGAAATACGAAACACAGATCTACCTAATTGTTATTCAAAATCAAGAGAGAAAAAAAAGAGGAAATGACAATGTAACCGATGTTCAAAACTCATCAGCCAATAAATCATGGCAGAGATTCCAATTGATGAATCGATTGTGGAAAAATGCAACGCTAGACACAAAAGAACCTCAAGGAGACTTCAATCAAATTTAATCGAAAGAACAAACCCCAAAGGCAACCAAGCTCAATTAAATCGAAAGAATCTATTCTAAAGGTCAAAGCTTTCCGCTGTAATAGGGGGAAACTGCTCGGATAGAGCGCAGAAAAACGTCGTGACCTAAAACAAGGCATCAATCAGCAGAACGGAGGGAGAAAAACCTCCCAACACGAAAGACAAGGTTCGAAACGAACACCAAGCGTCGAGATCCAGCAAGCGGGATCCGCAAAAACACGGGGATCGTCGCTTCCGCCTCCGATTCAGTTGGTGCAAGGCGGGAAGCGGCTCGTCCGCCGGCGGATCGCGGCGTTCCCGACCTGCACCAAGCGAACCAGAGGCGGCGGCGACTGCCAAATATGTAGCCTTCACCGGCAGCGCCGGCGGCGGATGAAGCTTTGGGGAGGCGACGACGGGCAACACATGGACGGTGTTATTTATCCGCGAAATGGATGCGTCCGATTGTGACACGTGGCATCACTCGAGGATCTAATATTCCTATCAAAAATCGTCTTTGCATATCCATCTTAAAAATAAGATATTTATATTGGAAATTCCTTTTACTATGACAGTTTCGTTTTAAGAATTTTTAATATTTTAAAAATATTCCCCTATTTATATAAATATTTTTTTATTATTTTTTCTTCCGAGCAACAAGTAAATAAGTAGTCTCGATATTCAGTAACAAACGATATCTTTCTTTTCATCAAAATGATGTGACAAATGTTGTCATTACATGAACTATAATCTTTCTTTTCATCAAAATGATGTGACAAATGTTATCATTATATGAACTATAATCTTTCTTTTTATCAAAATGATGTGACAAATGTTGTCATTACATGAACTATAATATCGTTGGACGACAATCGAGCAAAATTAGAGAATAATTTTATAGGTTTAAAAATAATGTATTCACCCTTAATAAAACTTAATATAATATTTATGCCCTTTCAAATACTGAAATGTCACGCTCTAACCATAACTAATATTAATTAGTTTAAAAATAAAAAATAATATAAAACATATAATTAGTTGATAAGATTAATCATATATATATATATATGTATGTATGTATGTATGTATGTACGTATATATGTATGCTAAACTTAAATTTAGATGGATAATTATAAGAATAATTCTCCTTTATATATATTCAACTTTTTTTCTAAAAATCAAAACAAAATCTATTGCAATTCTTTTCTTAATAATTTAAAAGCTTGCATATATACATTGATGGATGTTAATGGGAGAGAGAATTTGGTTGAACTATGGTTCTATTGTTTCTTCACCTTCAATTCCTTTAGCAAAAGAATATATATATAAATCTTTAAAAAAATATAATATTTTCTCAACAATAATACCTATATTTTCTTAATAGAAAAAAAATTATAGAGCAAAGATTAATAAATAGTTGAAGAGAAATAATAAAAAAAAAGGATGAAAACAACAAAGCCTAGAAGGAACATTAGAAGTAATATAATAAGGCTAGTAATGGATCAAGATCTACCTTAGAACTCCCTAGAATGACTCAAACCCAATCTGATTCTTCAGTGGGTTCATTATATCTCAGTTCATGAGACAGGATCACACAAACTTGCCTGTCTACCAACAGACAAGCAAGAGAAAGCAGACTCATATAATTGCCACCCTTCTTTGACAAGGAGTTCTTAGTGTTCCATTTGTCAGACAAGCAAACCTCTCAATTATCCAATCATTTCCAGTCTCATCTGGAGACTCTTCCCAGGATGGAGTGCTTGCTTCATCCACGTAAGATAAGACTTGCAGTGAAAGCAGTCAGATGAGACTTGTGATGGAAGAACTTGAGGTCTTTTTTTATGCTGGACATGTGAAAAGGGACCAGATAGATTCCTCTGACCACTGTTTGAGATAGGAGTAAGGCACAGTGATGACTTCAATGTAGTCCACAGAGACAGACACACAGCATGAGAGCACATGCCATGCCTCTGTCCACACAGGAGCAGTGTGTGTGTCTGTGTGTGTGTGGCCTTGTCCTCATGTGTAGATTTTTCTGAAGCAGGACAAGAATCCACCAAGAGTCTATGACTTCTTGCACAAGGATTGTTGTTATCTAAGCTTGAGAGGGAATAAGTGTCCTGCAAGTCACATGGCTGAGAGTTTGGTGGACATGACAACATTGACAAAAGTGTGCAAGCATGACTGCCATCTGCTTGGTGTTCACCATCTGTGTTCAATGATTGAAGCCCATGGAGCTGGAAATTGCAGTAAGCTCGGCTGCACAACATTCTTGCTATGACAAGAATTCTTTCTCAGTCTTGGACAGACAACAAGTGATTGAGAATGAAGGGGCCTAAATTTTCTTGATTGAAAGAATATGAAGGAAATAGTGAGAAGAATAGTTACTGCAAAGGTGTTTGAGCTTTTCAGAACTTTCTGCAATGGGGAGCAGCAGCATGACAACTATGACAATCACATCTTTCCATTAGATCAACTTGTGAGAATAATTTTATTCCTATAATGTGTAGTTAACACACTGCTTTATCAAGTAGGAAAATAATAGTATGGTCTGAAGTCCCTAAAATTTCATATCATAGTATGGATTAAAAATCTGTTTCTATTGCCACTGAGACTTTACATGAAATTATCCAATAATTTCCAGTCTCATTCCTTTGAGACTTTACATGGTCTGGATTTAGTCATATCTGGTAGCTGCAATAAAGATCTAATTCCTGGGTGTTTTGGTGTTGATGATGAGTAGAATTGGGTCAGCAACTCTCATGGTGCCTTTGCTAAGACTTCTCATCCTTATCTCTTGTATGACTCATTAGATCACAACCACCATTGGAATGGATGGAGAATTTGTTGGCCTCTTCCTATTCCTCATAATACTTATATATATTTCTTGCAAACTTAGTTTGAATGTTTTTCCTACTAATGTTTTCCTTATTTCAAGACTTCTAAATGCCTCTTCTTCTTATCTTGTATGTGATCTTGTTTCTTCACTGTCTCTTCTTTTTCTCTCAATAACAGGATTTTTGTTCTTACTAACTTTGCACTGAGACTTCAAAGGTTCCAATGGAGGCAAAAGGAAGAAGCAATCAACAGTTAAGTCAGACAGTAAGAAGAAGATGATGCTCTTCACTGCACTGAGCTTTCAAATTGTTATATTCTATTCTGTTAAAAGAAAAAGAATTTTCACATTTTCTCAATTTGAGCTGCTTTTTCAGAAAATTAAGAAAAATTCAAATAAACATCACAATTTTATGATATTATGGCTGGTGGAGAAAAGTTTGATCTGTTGAACTTAATTTTTATTTATTTGTGAGACATGATTTAAGAATGTTTGGAGGGCAATTAGATTGCAAACACTGATGAAGATGCTGCACATCAATCAAACTTAAATTGGATGTACTAATTAGAACACCTAAGAAAAAAAAAGACATACCAATTAAAATTGCACGAGTCTCAAAGCATGATCGATGGATGTGATGCCACGAGATGGAGGTATTGTAAGATTAAAGTTGCAAGTTCTCTCTCTCTCTCTCTCTCTCTTTATAGAAAAAAATTGAATCTAAGAATTTAGATAATAATTGATAGAGGAAGGAATTATTGTGCGGTAAATTATCAAGCAATATGTTTTTTATTATGACACATACCAATTAGTCGAATTGATTGTTTTATGAGGTAAGAAAATAATCTATTTACTTATTTTGGTTAATGCGATTTGGATTTTTAGAATTCGCAATATGGAAGTAATCTCGAGTGTATTATTTTATATTGCAGTGATATAATATTTAGATAAATATTTGATTAAGATTAAACAAAGTTGTTAGCATTGTATGTATCTCTTTGCAAAATCTAAAGACAATATAATATATATATATATATATATAATGCAAAATTCTATAGAAATTAGTGATTTAATATTTTTATAACTGAAATTAGTATATATGAAAAATCAATATTAATATAAAATTTAAAGACACATATATAACCTTTTATGATAATTAAAAGAATATTAATTATATTTAAATAATCGATATGTTAATAATTTTTAGATAATTTTTTTATAAAATACTCATTTTGAATATTTTCTGAAAGGTACCCTTTTTTTTATTTTTTTTCTTAAACAATACCCCTAATTTGAAAAATATTTAAAATATCTCTCAAAAACTTTTTCATTAAATTTCTTCACTTGCTTTTTTTTTGGGCTAGTTTTAAATTATCATAATGTTTTCATTTGACTTATTTATAATATTTTTTAATAACGTTTATAATATTTTATTGATGCACCAAAACACACTGAATATTATTAAATAATATCACAAATGACATCATATCATGTCTTTGGATTGTTATTATTATATTTTTAGGTTTATAACCTTATAGTATTTTTGTTATGATGGTCAAAATACTGATAAAAAAGAAAAAAAATACTATAAGAGATAAGAATAGTTTAATAGATGGAAAAATTTTTGATGGATATTTTGAATTTTTTTTAAATTAGTAATATTTTTTGAAAAAAATACGATAAAAATATAGATTGAGAAAATATTTAAAATGTGGATTTTTTTAAGGTAAATCGTCCATAATTTTTAAAACTAAATAATCTTAATATGTGGAGGGAGATATATATATATATATATATATATATATATATATATATAT